GGCCACCGGATTTACCCCTCGATATCTTCTGATATTGAAGAAATTAAAAGACGAATTACAGTAGTATGCTAGTCAATTCCTAATGCAGTTTTCCGTAATGTTATAAGGGAGTTCGAAAACAGACTTTATTACTGTTTAGAGCAGAATGGACGACATTTCGAACAGTAAGATAAGCTTGAGTAAATTTTATGTTTGAAATATCTTCCTCGCAAATTATATTTTATTCTGTTGAAGGACAATGACCAATGAATAAAAAATCCCACGCGTAATACATGTATTTCTGTCATTCAAGGGTTGAAACGATGCCACCTACTCTTCTAATCATTTTTATTAAAAGAAGTCATTATAATAATGCATCTCAGAATAGGCAAACTCCAATGACATTTGTATGTTTAGAATGCTATTTTTTGTATACAACTCATCAAAAAATGCCAATCAAAATGATGTGCCACTTGACACCCCTTCTAAGGGTAACATCTTGGGGGTTAAACCACGAGGGCTACAAATATTCTTCAAAAGTGTCCCCCTTGACTATAAAATTGAACTGTTTTCTCGATTACTCACATTTTTCACTGTGAGGAAGATATTAAGGGTGGGAAGTTTCCAATTTGACACCCTGTATGAATAAAATTGTATTCAAAATAGCGCTATGTATATATATTTATTTAATGATTTAGGTTAAAAAAATAGTTACTTCAAGCGAACTGAAAATTTTAAATAACCATCCAACATTGTAATGAAACAATTGATACAGATTGAAACAATTCAATTTTTAGACAAAATATTTTCTAATTCTTATTTCCATTCATTGTTTTAGGGCGACATGTGATGAATTGTCACAAATAAAATGTTTTTATCAAATGAGTGTTCATCGCTTCATTATGATTTCGAAAAAAATTCGAAAAAATCAATTTCAAGTTTCAACACTTGATAATATCAAGCAACTTGAATTTTTCGTACAGAATATAAATAACTTAGAGTACCTCTGATTTCAGCACGTACATAATGATTCAGGTTATTATTAAAAAACTGATTATTTTTGAAAACTTTGCCACCCTGTATCTCAAAAGATAAGGCGTTTAGGACATACGTCCATAGGAAGTTTTTTTCTCAAAATGGGTCTTAAAATTACCTCCTCAAATATTGGCATATGTTTAAGGAACACCCTGTATAATTATTTGAAATACCTGAAAAAAAAATGTTAAAGATATGTTCTTTCCGCTAACCAGCTATCGTACCCCTACGAATGACAACCCTCAGAAGTCGAAACGTGTGCGAGCTAAGGACTAACAGGTCTTACCTTATAACGTGTGATTCCTAACATGGGTAGAAAGATAGCCGGTGAAAATCTAGCGTTCAGCCTGTGGCTTGAACCATCCACTCATACATCGGCCGATTGACTGAGTAAACAAAGCACCCACGTCGAACCGCCCGGCTACTGACCTGAAAGAATGAATAAATTAAAATATTAGCTGAAAATAACAATTATATTATATAGGCAAAAAACCCTGAAGTGAAATAAATAACAATCAAATAAAATACTAGCAACAATTGGGAATCGAACAATTGAAAAGGAATGAAAAATTGAAAGATTTCAAGCCAAGTTACTTCACTATCGTAACGTCGTGAAGTACCTTGGCTTGAAATCTTTCGATTTCAATTTCTTTTTAATTGTTCAATTTTCAGTTATTGCTTGTATTTTATTTCATTATTATTTCAGTTCAGAGGTTTTTTTGCCAATATAATTTTTATTTTCAGCTATTCTTTTTAAATTTATTGATTCTTTCAGGGATTTCAAATCATTTTATATCATATTAGACAATGGAAGTCCGAACTAATGAAATTCACCACGAAACATTGTCAACCACCTTCAAACATCTCAATATTTCTTTTTTCAGTAAAAAAATGTTCTCAGTAATTCGAAAAATAATCAAAAAATGTAAAAAAATCGACAGATATAGCAAATTAGGTGACTACTATTTTACGGATATCTTCATTTTAATCAAAGCAAGTATTGATACCAAAGTCAAATTTTGGATGAATAGTAATATTATATTTGTTTGAAAATGGTAAACAATGTTTTATGGTAAATTTCATCAGTTCGGACTTCCATTGTCTAATATGATTTCACTATGATTCGAAATCTATGAATGAATAAATAAAATTGAAATGAATAGCTGAAATATCAATTATATTCAGCGATAAAACCTAACGTGAAAGTACATTAAAACGAATAAAATAATCGAGATACAAAATGGTAATGACTAGAGTGTAAAAAGAAATTGAAAAAATATATTTCAAATTTTATCCTTATCGAAAATAATTTTGATTTTTGCTTATTTTCATTTTATTTCTTTTCACTCTCTAGTCATTATCATTTTGTTTGTATCTTGATTATTTCATTCGTTTTACTACATTTTCAATTCAGGTTTTATTGTCCCATATAATTGATATTTCAGCTATTCATTCTAATTTTACTTGTTTTTTCATAGATTTCGAATCATAGTGGAATCATATTAGACAATGGAAGTCCGGTCTGATGAAATTTTCAGTAATATAATGTCTTATCATTTTCACCCAAAAAAAAAATTGAATGATAATATAAATGATGAACAGGCGAAGGTTCAAATTTATTGAAGCTCATGATAAAAGAAAATCCCAAATGATGTACATTTTACTGGTCACATTGTACCAATAAATGGTGATATCTGAATTCGTAATGACTATTTTCGAAGCTAAGGTTCACAACTGACAATGAATTGATCCCCAAGAATAAAGACATGGATTACAAATAATATTACTGATAAAGAGATGTAAGAGAAATTATAGAACACACGTAATAAAGATATTAAATAACGCTACATGTAATTGCAATTGGAACAAATCGAGAAATAAACCAGTGAAACTACATATCTATGAAAAATTTAATAATTTCGATCTGGAATCAATGTTTATCAACAAATTAAAAATATATACAAGGAAATAAATAATGAAAATTAACAAATTGAAAACAACAATCACGTCTATCCCAACTCTCTTCAGTTTCACTGTCAACGTCCACACTGTTATTATCTACACTGTCATTATCTCAACTTTCCTCACTCTTATTGTCCTGTTCGTCACTATTCCAAAGTTTGGCTTCTTTTCTCTTCAATGTGAAAAAACTGTTCCTAATTTTTTTCAAATTTGCAAAAGATGAATTTGAAGAAGACTCCAGGATTGTTTGCACTGTTCCTTCAGCTTCAGAATAATGTCCATAGTATACACCATCAATATTATGCGAATCGTCAAGAAAGTTACTTTGGTAAGTTAACCATTTTTTGACTTTTTCGAAACTACCAAACTCAACTGCAACACAGGGCAACAACCGTTCTGCTTCTTCAATATTCTTGACGGAATCCTCGGTAGAGCTACTAATTGAAGTTTTGACCGTGAAATATTCTGAAATATCATCCGCTTCCTGGGAAGAAATTTGAGAGACTTCCTCGCAAGCTGAAGAATATTCGCTACTTGAAACGGTATCACACAAAACTTTTGGTTCGGTAACGCCAAGAAGCTCCTCTACCGTTTCTGTCAAAAGTCGTTCTAAAATTATCTGTTTTCGTTTTTCAACTGAACAACTCATAATGATCGTGGAAAAACTGTCGTTCTGCTTCGAAAATTTGCACTAAGATGTAAGTTAGACTAGCACCTAGATCTAAGCTAACAAACTGCATTCGACTCTATAAGTACTAGTAGGAATATTATTCTACCTGTCTACTATCATTATCAGGTATTGCAATTTCTTGGGAATTACGTTTGACTTCATATAATCCCTATTTCTTCAATGAACTTTCATAATTAACAAGATATGGATAAGCCATCCACTTAAGAGGCATTCAGACAAAAAGCAAAAACGTCCAGAACTGTAAAGTACATTTTTCAATACATTTTTTTCATCTTGATCGAAAATCCCAGCAAAACTGAGACAACTGTTTCTTAGAATGTGTATGAAATATTATCTAATTGAACTGAAAAAATATTTACAAATATCCAATTTGTAGGCTTCACCTAACATTATTTTTGATTCATTAAAGTAGATCTATGATTGTCTTCGAACTATGCCATTAAATTCATATTTACTAATCCCTGGACGAAAAGGTGGCTATAAATTTTTATCCGTAATACCATATTGTACCTCAATATAATACGTTGAGAGAAAGCTAAAAATGTCTTGATGTATACGGAGTGTTTGTTCTTATACGCTTTATAGATAACAACAGTAGTCTGGGTCATAAGATCATTGTTTTAGGAACTTCTGTCCAAGGGCACCGAAAATTACGATCCCGGGCTAATTCCATTCGGATCGACCTCTTGCAATTTTTGAATAATTTCAAAAGAGGCTCGAAAAAAATGCAAAAGTCATAAACAATTTGTTAAAAATAGATATTTGCAAAAAATCGAACCCCCCTTTTTTACCAAATTGTTTATACCTTTTGCAATTTTTTCGGGCCCCTCTTGAAATTTTTAAAAAATACTTATTCCGAAAAGATTGGGCCCTGGATCATAATTTTCGGTGCCCTTGGACAGAAGTTCCAAAAAAAGGATCTTGTGATCCATACTACAGATCTAAATATTGAAGCTGATAGCTGAAGAATCAATGATCATCTATAAATTCATTACGTGTACATTCAGATTTTCCAACTTAAGAAGAGTTATCTGAATAATTTATTTTGATAAACTCTGATACACAGAAATATTCCTCAAAATTACGAAGAACGCAGAATTCATAAAAATTCGAAAACAAAATTGGTCAACAATATCCATTGATTCAATATCATAACAAATCGTTATAAAATGAAGTCCCACCGCCGCATCTGTTTGTTTTAACGCAATAACCTGAAAAGATACCAAACGGAATTTCATCGGTTGTCACTCATAAACAAAGTAAATATGGTAAAAAGTCAATTTGATTAATTAATTATTTCTTTGTGTGAATTAGTTGAAATAAAACTATATTATTCATGCGAAGTCTGTGAACTTTTATCGAAAACGCTTACCAGAAGTCTAATTCAATTGTAGTAAATAGTCATAGATCTCCTAAAAATATGATCTACAGCTAGACACGAAAATCGTCTAGATTTTAAATATTCTTGAAACATTCTCATATACTTACATAGAATCCTCATATACAACAGTGAGTTACCTTACTCAAATGGTTACTAGTAAATGAGGTAACAGGTAGAATTTCTAGAAGTAGAAGTTCTTGGACAGTAGGTAAATTTTGAGAAAACCAGAAGGATTTGCAAAACAATTACAATCTCAGTTCTTGGAAAGAAGGTTGATTTTGAATATTTACAAAATTATTGGCATTATGAAGAAAGGTTCAACAATGGTGAGTAGTTAACCTCTCGTTGGCCGTTCAATAGGGAATTTAAATGTTTGCCCCTATTGATTTCCGGAGACTCCAGCAGGTTCAATTTCTATAATTTATTTTCTATATTGAGTATGTCGTAGATAGTGTTCAAATCGTGATTTTTCTCCAAAAGGTTGCACGCATAGGTGGAATTGTTCTTCTTCAGTTCAAAACTTTTTTCATGTTCGGAGATTCTCGTTTGAACATGTCTTGAAGTCTTTTCTACACGAACTTTTGGGCATGATCCGCATGTTAGTTTGTCGATACCTGATCTATCATCCATTTCTATGTGTGACTTGTTCTTTTTAGGTCTTTCGAGGCTTTATTGGCTTCATCAGGAACTCTACAATGAATTGATAAAATTGATTTCAATATTGATTTGACAAATTATAAACTCACGAAAACGAAAGTGAGGTTGGTAGGTAATCCCTTTCACTTGCCGAGATTTGTAAAACATATCGCAAACGACAAACACTCTTGGTAAAAACAACATGAATATAAATACTTCACATCATGTATTGATTGATTGAATTATTTGAAAACACAAATTTGTGACGTTGACAGTTGACAGTAATGAAATTGATGACAGTAATTTTCTTGACCTTGTTGCCAACATACAATGAGAGATGAAAAATAAAAATACTAACTATAAAGGGTTGCCAATTTTGTATCAATCTTTGGAAAGATTATTTTATTTGTTAGACGTTCCTTGAAGAGGGCGACTTAGTAGAGATAAAATAAGATAAGCTAAGATATAAGCTAACATAATCTATGTCAGTTCTATAGTTAATTGAATTTTGTTTTTTGAAAATTTTTGTCATTTCAAGAAAAGTTCTCTTTTTTAATTGGATCCATGTTCTAAAATAGTCACATTGTCATAATCAGGTATGTATGTACAATTGTATGTTCAGCTAGAGCACAGGTTTTTTTAAATTTATAATATCGCTTTTATGAGAATAAAGTCTGTCTTTCAATTTGGTCGTGATACTCAGACGGTTCACACCGTTCTGAAGAGACCATGCCCATTACTGATGATGAGGCAAGCACCCCGAAACCGGTCTATCGGTTGGTCGTATCGACATATAAATGATAGTAGATTTCATCCTGAGAGATGTGCATCTCAGTAATCATGTCTCCAAAGGAGGTCATGAAATGGACTATAATTTAACTAAAATTTTATCGACTGAAAGAAAGACATCTAAAAGATTGTTTTTGGAAATGTTATTTATATTACAATCAAATAATTGCCTAAATAGATCAGATATTGATCACCTCAGTGAAATATATGCCATCCTATTAGATATTTATAAAAATTCACATGATTTCCAAAACAGTAATAATTCTGGTTTCACATTAATATAATTCATAACATTTCAATTTTTTTTTGAACGAATTTCCAACCTCCCTATGACAGGGTCTTACTTTCATTTAACAACACCTCTCCACTAGTTTTCATCAAGACTAATGAGAGTGTTGTCAATTAATTATTAATAAATTGGACATATTTGATTTTGAGTTTTCTCATTGAGTTACTTATAGAACAGCAGTTGTCTTTTATCACACTTGCACCATAACAGATCTCTTTTGTTCCATAGTTTTATCATCGACAAACAAACACACTTTTTCAAACTGAATCACATGACAGCTGTCACTGTCAATTGTTGGTTGTCTCTCTCTTTGTTCTTCAACCACATGACTCATACCGGTGATCCATAATTTTAAAACAAATAACGATTTTCAGTAAATTTCAATTCGATAATCTTATACAGTGTCACCATTAAAGTGCGCAACTTTTTTTTTGAAAAAAATTGAAAAAGTGCATTTCTAGATCGAATTTAACAAAAAGTTACTTGAAAAAGTAACAGTTATTGTTGCAATAATGTTGTCTCTTCAGGAAAGAATAAAAATAGTTTTAATATGTGGTGAGAATACACCATACCGGCAAGTAGCTAACACTTTTAATGAACGCCATCCAGGAAAAAATGTTCAACATACTACTGTATCAAGGATAATGTCGAAATTCAGAGAAACAGGATCCGTAGCGAACATTGGTCCTTCTAGTAAAAAAAAAGTTAAAGAAAAAGGAAATTTGGAGAAACATGTCCATGCCAAACCCAAGAAAAAGTGAAAGGAAAACTGAAGGAATTCCTCCCGAAAGATACAGTGACGTAGGAGAAAAGGCGAGCTGAAATAGAAAGAAAGCAAGCTGAAATAGAAAGAAAGCAAGCTGATAGAGATGCAGAGCTGATAAGGAAAGAAGCTTAATTGAAACGTGAATTGATACAGGAAGGTTCGTCCAAAAAGTCTACAATTTACGGTGCTGATAGTGTTATCGATTTAGACCAAATGAGTGTTCAAGAAAAGATAGCAAACTGGAAAATTGAAGAAACGGGTATTAACACCGATTTGCCGACGACAAATAATTTCATTACAATGATTGCTGATAATTTCAACCAGATCTGTGATGTATTTAAGCAGAACTCCAACAAATCAAAAAGTTTCGAACGATCAGATGATACAAAAACAAATTTGCCCACTTTTGATGGAAATCCAGAAGACTGGCCGTTGTTTTTTAGTCAGTTCGAGCGTTTCACTCATCTATTCAATATTTGTGAAGACGAAAATATTATGCGTCTGCAAAGATGCCTTACAGGGAGAGCCAGAGAAGCAGTGCAACCACTCCTTATCGCCCCTAAAAATGTAACGAAAATAATTGAAACCTTGAAAATAACATTCGGTAGACCTGAATTCATTGTTTCCAATTTGATAGAAAAAGTTCGACGAGCTACTCCTCCAAATGAGGGAAGATTTGAAACGTACCTGCCATTTTCAAACGTTATCGAAAATTTGGTTACAACTATGGAACTATTTCAAAATACTGGACACATGACGAATCCATCAATATTAAATGGAATTATCATGAAATTACCTCCATTTCTAAGACTCAAATGGGCTGAAGAATCCACTTTAGAAGAAACCATCACTTTAAAAACATTTTCACTATGGATGCGCAAAATCGCTTTAGCTGCGTCAAGTTGTGCTGATTTCAACAGTTACAGTTATCCTGAAAAACGAATTGAACAAGACAAATTTCAAAGCAGGAAAAATATAAATGTATTTTCTACAAAAAAATATGAGGAATGTCCCAACTGCCAGAATGATCATATTTTGACAGATTGCCAAAACTTCAAAAAACTTGACCTTGACCAAAAATGGAAATTTGTGACATCAAAGAAGCTTTGTTTTTACTGCCTGAAGCCAGGTCATAATATTTATTAATGCAGGGTAAAACAAAAGTGTGGAATAGAAAATTGCCAAAAATTCCATAACAACATACTTCACAATCTTGATCATAAAATCAAGGCGGCGGAAGGTTCAGTGGATAATGTTTCACTCTTGAACAAGGACGACGATCCAGACATTCATGTTGAAAAAATTAACTTTTTTCAAGAAGAAAATCCTACAATACTACTTCGAATAATTCCCGTGAAACTAAAAGGACCCAATAAGGAAATGTATACATTTGCTTTGTTAGATGACAACAACAATGATAGACAGCAAAATCGCTCAAGAAATAGGATCAGACGGACCTGTAGAACCATTATGCTATCAGTGGCTCAACAACGTAACAAAAAATTAAGACAATTCGAAGAAGGTGACTTTAGAGCTATCTGGAATAGAAGAAAACTCAAAAATGTACAAAATAAATGAAGTCAGAACAGTCAGCGGACTTTCACTTCCAAAGCAAATAATTGATGTGGAAAATATGAGTAAAACCTACCCATACATCAAGGAAACGCCAGTTCTTTCTTTTTATGATGCCCAACCAACTATTCTTATTGGCTAAGACCAATGTGCTTTAACAATTGCCAGGAAAATTTATCAGAGTTATTGGAATGCGCCTTTTGTTTCTAAAACTCTACTTGGATGGGTAGTACATGGAAGATATCCACAAGGAAAGGTTCTTGAGAATTCTCTGATATTTCACGTTTGTTGTAAGTCTCAAGAAGAAGCAAATGAAGATATCCACAAACTGGTGAAATATTCATTTAGAATTGAAAATTTTGGAATGAAATGCATAGAAGAAAATGGTAGATCTAGAGAAGACGAAAGAGCTTTGAAAATCATGGAAAATCATTTTGAGATTGGGCTCCTATGGAGAAACGAAAATTTTACATTACCAGACAGTAAATCTGTAGCACTGGATCGCCTCAAATGTATCGAGAGGAAAATGGATAAAAATAAGGAATTTGCAGCTGACTACTGTAGAAAAATTGAAGAATATACTCAAAAAGGCTATATTCGAAAGCTGAGCGTTACTGAAGCTGAAAGAGAGGGCCAGAAAACTTGGTGTTTACCACATTTTGGAGTGGTAAACCCCAACAAACCAGGCAAGCTGAGATTGGTATTTGATGCCGCAGTAAAGTCGAGTGGAACTAGCCTTAATGATCATCTTCTTCAAGGTCCAGACTTGTTATAAAACTTAACAGCAATTATTTGAAAATTCCGTCAGAAGTCGATTGCCTTTTGTTCAGATATAAAGGAGATGTTTCATCAAGTAAGAATCCGAGATGACGATTGCTCAGTTCAACGCTTTTTCTGGCGAGGTATGGATCGATCAAAATATCCTGATGTTTACGAAATGAAGGCCATGACATTCGGAGCAACATCTTCTCCCTGTATGGCTCAGTTTGTGAAGAATAAAATGAACCCCTAGAAGAAATGGAATTGGAAATGAAAAGAGAAACTATACTGACAACAACAATTACACACAGTTATTTGCCCAGCCTAGACAGATTTTCTAAATACCGATGACTAATTTGAGCCACTGCATGGATGCTTCGATTCATCAACAACTGCAGAAACAGGAAAGTAAGCACAAATTTGGAGTGTTCAGAAGTGGAAAAAGCCGAAGAAATTTATATAAAATATGTACAGAACGAATGTTTCCATCAAGAAATTGCAGATTTACAAAACAAAAGGACTATCAGTAAATCAAGCCGTATATATATGAGAGCCTAACCCCCAATCATTTCCTACTTCAATGTTCTGATGGATCTGCACCACCTACAGGAGAATTTGACATAAGCGCCGCAAACTGCAGAAAACATTGGAGAGTCACCCAAGCGCTAGCGGATATGTTTTGGAGGCGATGGCAAAAAGAATAATTGGTCAACTTGAACAAAAATACGAAATGGTACTCTAAGAAAGAAAATATTTCCCTGGATGACATTGTAGTTGTTGTGGACGACACACTTCCCAGAAATATGTGGCCCATCGGAAAAATACAGAAGGTTTATGAAGGGAAGGACGGAAAAATTCGAGTTGTCGAAGTGAAAACCCAAACAGGAATCTATAAACGACCTGTTGCCAAAATATGCAAATTAATTGAAAAAAAAAACAAATGTTTGAAGAACGAATTCAATGCTGTAGTGATTTCATCACGTTTCATCACGAGGGGGAGAATGTTGCTGTTAGAATCACCATGTATTTTAATTGAGTTAATTAGTATTTATCACTTGTTTTTATGTTTACAAAAAAATTTGTAATTGCTGAGCAAGAACTGCATAGAATGTACAAACTCGACACTTTCAGATTATCCATTTTAGCCGAACACCTACAGTTTGTAAAAAACTTGATAAAAGATCAGTTACCGTTTTTGCAGGCTTTGTTCAACCCATAGAAATCTACAGGGTGGTCGAGTGTACCAATTTAATCGAAATTAAACGACCTCATGCATTTATTTTTATGATATTTGGTATGTTATAAAAATATCCCTAGACTTTTCCGATGTGTATTTACAATGTGTCTTCATGTAGTAATCACTGAACCCAACAATATTATTTCAACAAGCTATATAGTATGCTATTTGAGGTTCAACTCAGTACTCTTCGAACTGCTTGAGAACTCTTCCATTTGGGGAACTGCGTTTATTTTAAATAAACTTCCTGAGAACGTTTTTCCATACGAATTCAATCTCCAGCGATTCAAAATCCAACGTGAATCGCTATTTTCGCACAGGTACCGATTTTAAGGATTTTTCTAGGGGCGCTTGTGTTCTGTCCTTGAAAAAATTGCTTACCTGATGAAAGCAATACCATACGATTATACCAACTCTGTAGCCAATAATAGTATTGCTGTAAATCTAGATTCAACATTGCTCCCACACATGTTGATAAGAAATGCATTTCTTTATCAAATATTGGCACATAAAACTAATTTTAAATCATATTCAATTACTATTCGAAATTTGTAAACACCCACCGATAGTGCGGGCGGGAACTAATATAAAAAATTAATTTCTTTCATGCAAAAAATTGCAGTTACTCTCTGTTATCGATAAGATGAAGGTTTTTCTTTTTTTAATTATTGCATTGGTGGTAAGTCCGTTTAGATGATTTCCATACATGGGTTAATGATTTGTATTTTTTAGAAATTGTTCAGCATTTGTGTGCCTTTCAATATCTTGATTAACTTCAACTGACCTCCACAATAACGCTTTTACCTAAAAATCTGTCAGTTCACTGTATCTATTCATCTGATTGAAAATCGATGTTGAAGTAGTAGTCATATTGCCTTTCTTAGTCCTGTTTTTGCCTGCAAAACTTTTCATTTGATAAGAAAATAAATTCAGTTCTTTTTACCTCTACTATTTTCTTGAAACCGATTTTGCTCTCTTTTCACTTTATGTTTCCAATGATTCTTTTTGACGGGACCATGTTTGATTTTCACGACTTCAAACCTGATTGAACAAAATCTGAAGTAATATTTTTTGAAAAACACATACAATGCAACTTAGGGATTTTTTTCGATTCATATCGATAATAATTCTATTCAGTTCGTGAATGAGACAAAAAATTTGGGTTTATAATATTATCAAGGCTATCTTACTACGACGTCATCTACTAACCTGCCTTACTGCAAACTCCAAAGAATACAAAATAGTTGCATCAAATTCGCATACCGCACACGTAATCATGGTCACATGAGACCCTCTTTAGGAAACTCTGTCTAATTGCACATAAAGCAAATACGAGAAAAAAAATCCCTTCACTTCTACTCATGAAGTTTTGGGATCTGTTGAACCTTCACTAAAGACCTAACCTTGTAAAACTATTGAAATTTTAGGGTGAGGAAATTATTTCAGTCTGAGAACTGAACGCTTTGAAAAAAGTCGACTGTTTTTAGTAGCATTCATGACTTCTAAAAATTTAATTACCACAAATATCTGTCATCGGACCTCCACTCTTTTCATTATATATTAACGACATGCCTGCATATGTAACAAAAGGTCATGTAACATGCTTTGCTGACGATACTACCATTACAGTATCAAACTCAACTTTTTAATACGTGTTTCAACACGTATTCGAACGTCTACAGAAGTCAAATTCTTAGGAACTCATCTTAACACCAACCTGAATTGTGGAAAACAAATCAGCCATGTGTGTAGAAACCTGAACAAAGTCTTTCATACTATACAGCTGATGAAGTCCATTCTAGATGAAGCTGACATGCTTAATCTATATCACGCAATGGTTCACTCCCATCTTGTCTTGGGACGGAGTAACAGATCTTAGCAGAGTTTTTGTGGCTCAAAATTCAATATCACGGTAGATATTTGATCTTAACTTCAGGGATATCTGCCGAATAAACTTTATAGGAGAAAAGATTCCAATCTGAACTTCTATTGACATTTTAAAATGTGTTATGTTCGCCAGACATGAGTAGGTATGTAATGGAAGATTTTGTTAACTACCAGTTTTTTCGGACATCAATGAATACTATGATACGCCATGGTTGATATTCGAATAATGGATTGGAACACATCGTTCTATCAGGTAGCCTGCAAGATCACTCGACTTAACCCCTTTAGACTTCTTTCAGGTCGTCGCGAATTGTGCCACATGTTATGAACATGTGGCATTTTCAACCTAACGCTATCATCAATGATGCATTCGGTAACTAACTAACAATACCAGTTTACTGTAACGACAAGAGTTTATTTTCGTTTCATAACAACTCCCCAAACAACCTTCGAGGACGTGAAAGAAGTACGGAGGGATTTTTTTGGGTGATCTTGAAACTGTGTTTCAATCCATTTTTCGAATATGGAGCTATTGTTTCATTTGGAAAATTATGTAGATTTCAAAAGTAACATACCGCGTTGTAACGAAACCATTCTTCTTTCTTTCTACGTCGTTCGTATTCATAGGAATTATGTGTTGTACTATAAATGTCCTTCTTTTGTCGGTTGGAGCGCCATTGTTGTTTTTCATTCAATATTTTATTATGTGCTACCACTAATAGGTAATAGGCAATTTACATTGTGTCCATGTGGTATTGTTGGCTGAATACCCAAAAGCCCAGTATTGGCAAAGAAACTACGTTCGACGTGGATCCGGAGCATTCCACTGAAAGGATTATGAAAACACTAACTACCTTTTTTTGTAATATTGTTCACTTTGTGCGAAATAAAACTCAGTTTTGCAGTCGTTGCCATTGACACTTTTCAAATCATTCCATTTCGAAACCGCTAAAGTTATTTCTAGTGTCTTTGGGAGAAATCCAGAAATATAAGATAATTTATATTTCCTATGGTGTGCCTACATTTATATAGGAATGTTTGAATTAGTGGGTACATGGGAATGTAACTTCATTTCCAAAATGTATTTCTGTATAATAACAATTTATATAAATTCAATCTCGTACTCTCTTTGGTATCATATCTAATAAACACCTTTTACCACTCGAATAAATTTGTCAAGTCGACCGGATTCGCATCTGTTTCATTTGTTCCAACAACCTTGAAAAACCCTGAGATAACGAGATCCTTAGCATTGTCTTTCATTCCAGGAAAACTGAAAGTAGAAAAAAACTGCCACTTCGTGAGCATATTCATTATTAGAAATTAGCTGAAAAACAAACAAGTACATAAGTACCCTAGTCATTATGGTTTTCAGCTGTCATTCTAATATGAATGATAACCTTCGAGAAAGTAGAACTACTGCAAGTTGAGGATCAACCAAGTCTTACTGAAATATGTATGTTCCTAAAACATACATATTTCGGTGAATTTATTTCGCACTACTTGAATATAATATATTCCTTTGAATGAAAAATTGTCTTGTTAGATTTCACATTCATATCATTTCTTATTTACGAAAACGATAGCTCAGTATATTTGCATATAATTAGATCAATATTTGTTGAAAAATATACTTCACAAAACTATAAATAAATAGAATCCCATAGATATGAAAGGGGACAAAATATTTTTATATTACCAGCTTTCACTTCTTTCTTTCAACGCCTAATATATAGTTTCAGGTCAACGGAAATGACATCTGCATAAACTACAGCAGTATAGCGAAAATGTGTGGAAGGACTCCTATACTATGTAAGTAATCACTTGAGTTTCAACTCCTAATTTCTGTCCCGAACATAGTGAAAACAATCAATATACACTACAACAGTATCCACTCGTTAAATCCAAATTTTCATATAAAACGAGGTTTTCGACTTTGTCGATACTTTTTTGAACTCCAATCAATACAATTTATTATGATATTCAGAAGTTTGAAGTCTATTTCCTAAGTCAGTGAAGTGATAAATCATTTGTAAGTACCTGTTTCATAGGAGTACATAACCGAGTCGGTTTAAAAGTGAAAAGTATAGTATTTATTTTAAACATTCAATTTTGTTGTATGATTTGATATAATGAATCTATAATGACTCTTCATAGAGAAGCGAGTTGGTGGTTTTGTTGATGGCAGATCATTGATGTTTGAGACCAAGCATTCTGGCGATTACCATGAAAACATGAACGGCGTTGTGTTCGAAGAATATTTTGTGTAAATCTAGACCACATTTTATCTAACTTCATGATTCTGGTGGATAATGTAATTATCATTCCAGAAAAATTTAAAGAACACCAACTAATGCATGAAGCAAACCAAACGTCATTGAGTGGCTTCGACAAAAAACATAGCAGTTGACGAAACTATTGACCATAGTATGTGCAAATGAAGCTCGTTTAAAGGAATATCTATGGTCGACAAAATGGCACAGGAACAAAAAAGTTTGCGTCATAGTGAACTTAATCCCATTGAACTCGTTTGGGCTCGATTCGAGGGTTCCGTTGCAAAAAAAAACACAACACTGAAAAAAAAATAGATGTCAACGTATTGAAAAAAAAACACTTCACTGTGAGATTTCCACTTGAAAGTTCACATAACCGCGACACGTGTTTTACTATACAATAGCATCTTCGTATTGTGACATCGACTGTATTGTGACGCTCCAAAATGCTATTGTATAGCGAAACACGTGTCGTGGTTTTGTACACTTTCAAGTGGAAATCTCATATTGAAGTGGTTTTTGAATACGTTATAATGGATTGTCATCAAGTATCGTTCAGTTCTATCATATTTTTTGAATATTTTGAGATACACTTCCAAGATCCTTGAAAAACATCGATTCTAAAAACGACGAGAATATATTGAATATGTTTTGAAAGAAGAGGACAACAATATATGGAAGTATTCAGTTGAAGAAATCATAGAATCTTTGTTCATAACATTCGATGACAATACATCGTATTAATCTGATGATAACCAGCCATAACTTTTGCTTATATCTACTATCTTCCTGAATAAATATAGCTATTTATTATTATGTTAAAATTTCAAATTGAACTGTCATTACAATATTACTTGTAAATGAACAATTTGAAAACCACGGTATCACGGTACTCCAGGTGATAAAACGAACCAAACACTCATAAAATCTCTTCTTTGCGACCTTTTCGGGAATAACTGGTTATATCAACTGCAGCAAATCATAACGAAATCAAAAAATTTGTTTGACCTCTGTTATTGACATTTATCACAAGTATTTATTACCCTCTACTATCGTGAAAAACAAAATATATTTTTTTGTATTAACTTTCCATAAAATATTTTGCAAGAACCGTCTTTATATTTTGAATATCTGATATAATGATAACGAAAGAGTAAAAAGCAATGTTTATTTGCTCAAAATGNATCCAGCATATGAATATGGATGTTGAAGATTGTGAGATTTTTCGGATTATGTCAGACATTTTATTTCTGATTTGATGAATAATATTGAGTATATTCACTTTGAATCATCTTTCAGTACGGAGTTAATATTTTTGGAGCAGTCGATATTCTCCCAGCTCATAATATTGAGTACTATATCCATTATATTGAAATTGTTTTCGATGTGATGGAGTAAATTTCTGATCACCACCTATTGCTATTTGGAGACTATGATATATCAAATTGTAAATGGTATAATGTTGAACTTGTGTTGATGTTGACTGCCCAGATAATTTGCCAGCACATGTACTATTTACTAGAAACATTCGCATATTCCAATTCGCATCAAGGAAATAATATACATCACTACAGAAATATATTAATGATCCATCCTCTAGTAAAAACTCAATTCAGAAAGGATATTTCCAATGAAAACGTGAAAACTTAAAAAATTCAAAACACCTTTTTGGGAAATAAAGGATTTGGATTTCTACTTCTTCATCTTCATACAAAAAAATTGTGAAAAATTTCCGAAAGAAGGAGGAAAGTAATTTATTTCAGAATTATTTCACCACATATATCTTTATCATGCATATGAGTTACTCTCAGATACAAACTAGAAGAAACAGTCCTCTCGAAACGAATACTTCCATATGAACATTATTGAATTACACGCAAGAAAAAGTACTTTCGAACACAACATAGTATATGAAAGAGATAAACTTTTATTTACATGGAACATGGAACACATGGAACAGTGTCCTCCGATTTGACTCTAGACTATTTATATGATGATGTGAAGACAAGAAATGAAATGGAGAGTCTAAGAGACGCAGCTAGACGCAGATGATTGATGAGAAAAAATTACCAGGTGCTGTAGGCGGTGTTGTAGGTTACTACTACCTGATATTCTTCCGAATATAAATGAATAAACAGAATATCGTTTAAACCAGTTTGAATATTTGATAAAGTTGATTTTTTTGTTCGGTTTCATTTCATTATTCAGAATTGGATACACCGAAAATATTTGACTGTTTTAACATTGCTTACCGCTGTATAATCAAAAATTTTATAGTGTTGGTAACAAAATTGAAAAATCTTTCAATTACGGTGCCGTTCGACTAGTATTCTCATCTGAAAATATTGGAGATGTATCCCCTTGAAAACTGAAATTGATGTTTTTCACGAAGTTTTTCAAGCCTAATACAAAATGATTTATTCAGGGAGGCTCGTTTCAACTCAACTGCACTACATGCAGAGTGGCCACTTTTTTAATGAGATTGTATTGGCAACTTTCAAACCAAAACCAAATGAAGAAGTTGCATTCATAAAAGCACTGTCAAGATATCACAATGATAGTGAATTCTGTCATTTTGATTTTTCTTTTTTCTCCCATGTTATTTCAAAGAGTATCAAAAAATAATACGAGTATTTGTTATTCGATAGTAAATTTTCCTCAATTTGACGTAATTATATTGAAAATCCAACGTTTCGTCCTTTGTGAGACACCCTCAACTACATTTTTTTTCAATAGGGACCTGCATATTTCATGACACTTTTCGAAATAATTTTTCACGCTGAATTCAACGTTATATCATACACCGTCATTCAAAGTTGATTTTCAAGTGATTTTGATTCTCATCTTAATATATTTGCATTTTACCTTTGATTAAATTAACAACATGCAATAACATTTCGATTCACTCACTCATCTTGAACTGAATGAAACGTATTAGAATCAAAGCAAGAAACAAATAATTATTATTTACATGTTTCGAAAGAAGGAAAACCCAATTCATAGT